GACCTGGTGTAACCACAAAGTTTCCACTTTCTTTATTTTGTTATTACTGAGTTAATTACTCAGGAAGCATGGGGTTATTATTAATTTATGATCACTAGTACTAATGATATTATCAGTATTAACAACTATTTGCATAGTGCTTTCTCGTTTATGAAGCTCTAATGTGTATTATCTCATTTTCTCACGGTGAATTCCTTGGAGAAACCCCACATTTATCATCCTCATTTTCTCAGTGAATTCATCCTTTTCATTAATATATTAAAAACTCAGTTAGTAACCAAACAGAAGATTTTCAGAAAGAAAACAGTTGAATTCTCCAGAATTTAGAATTTGATATGAGCTAGCTTTTGTTATTTGCAGTGTTAGCTTCATGCTTCTTAATAAGCACTGAGAGGAAATATTTTTTAAAAAATCTAGAAAATAAGAGCACATAAAGACAGTAGCAAATAGAAGCTCTATCCAGGAAGAGATTATATATAATATATCAAAGGACAAGATACAGATTAGTGCTTCTCAAACTTTACCTTGGGGTCTGGTTGACATGCAGACTCAGGCCTGAGTTTCTGCATTTGTAGCAAACTCCAGATGAAGACACCCTGCAGGTGCAGACCACACCTGGAGACATAAACCCAGAAGGAGGTTTCCTAATGACTAGGTACCTGCTAGGGGACAGATTAGGGAGAGTGTGTTACCAGCAGGGAGTATGTTGGAACAAGGAGTCACAGGGTGTGCTTCCAACCGTGTCTACACCTCTTCACTGAGCGGATGGGGAGAGGGAGGCTCTCACAGCATTTGGGAGACACCTTAAACAAAAGCTAAGGTCCGTGATGTGAGCTTGGTGAGTTGGAGATTGTTCTTTTGAAGTTCTGGCCAGTGAATAAGGAGTGCTGCCCAGTGGAGTGATTGCTAAATTGTATTTTCACTGTCTTTAAAAATAATGAGATTTTGTGTGTGCATGTGTGTATTTTCACCACTGGACTATCAGTATACCCCTGTGTTAAAGAAGAGACTCTGTCCATCAGTTCTTCCTCATTCTAGCCTGGGGCGAGCCTGGATGGTGGGGCACCCGAGGGAATGCCTGGGGGTGTCAGGTGGGGAGAGTATGTAAAGTCTAGTGAGTCCATGAGACAAGAAGGCAGAATGTGTTCTTTGGAGCAGATATGGTGAAAACTAAGGGAGACCAAACTCTCCTGTGCCTGCAGTAGGAGAGACTTCAGACACAGCCAGAATACCAGGAGCTTGTGGCCAAAGGAAAGAGTGGGGGTGGGGAGGTGGGGGCGTTAGTGAGAAGAGCCAGACCAAGGAGGTGGCTCTGAGGCCCCGACAGTGGTCATGGGGGGCCTGAAGCCTCCTTTGAGTATCCCAGCCCTCATCCTTTAAGGCAGGGTTGGCAGAGTTTCCTGTAAAGGGCCACATAGCAAATGTGTTCAGCTTTGCAGTGTCTATTCCAGCAACGTCACTGTGCCCCAAAGTAGCCACAGTCAGGACTGAAAGGAGTGGGCATGGCAGGGTGTCAGTAAAACTATTTATGGACATTGAAATGTGAAATGTGAAGTTGATATAATTTTTTTGCCCCCAAATCTTGTTTTTTGGGCTTCTTTCCAACCACTTAAAAGTGTGAAAGACATTCGTAGCTTGCTGGCTGCACAAAGACAGGAGGCAGGGTGGCTTTGTCTCACACCTGGGGTTTGCTGGGTTGGTTTGACAGGATCCTGGTGGATAGAACTTTCACTGCAAAATTTTAGAAATAGTAATAAGATGGCACAAAATCTTGCATATAAAATATGATTAGACAATAAATTAAATGGTTAAGAATGGAAAAATTGGGATTTTTCCATAATAAGGACATAAAAAAACCCCACTGAGGTTGTTCTTTCTAATATGCAAAGCATGCAAAAATAAACTTATTTCAAACAGTGACAAAATTCTTTTATAGCACATTACAGAGTATTTGTTTATATCTGACGTTCATAGCAGTTAGGACAGGCATGCACCCCATTTCACAGAGGAAGAAACTCATGCCCACAGAGCTAGTGTCCCTGACCCAAGGTGGCCGTGCTACAAGAGAAGGGCCAGGAGTCATGTTCAGATCCTCCCCTTACAGATACTCTTCTTGTTTTTGCTTTCCCATATAGGTGGTCCTTTGGAAGGACTGTATTATTTTTATTTTTTAAGTAGGTGCCATGCCCAGTGTGGAACCCAACACGGGGCTTGAACTCATGACCCTGAGATCTTGATCTCAGGGCCTAACCGACTGAGCCACTCAGGTGCCTCTAGAACTGTATTCTGAAATATGCTTTCTAAGTCACTTGGAACATGGAACTTTTCTCTTTAGAGAAAGAAAACAATAATTAGGTCCCCAGGCTATCCAAAAATGGCCATTTCAACTGTAATATAATACAACTGCAGTCCGCAGAGCACTAGGGGTTCTGGGTCCTGGGGGCTATGAGAAGTAGGAAGGAGGGGTCAAATTAATTTTTTTTGCCCATGAGTGGCCGTCGACAAAATTTCCAAGCAGTCAGTGATGTCTGTGGCACTTCTGTCTTGACCTCCTGCTCTCCCATCTCTGGCCATCAGGGTCCCTGATTTGCCCCCAAGCCCTCCTGTAACACCTTCCAGGAGCTCAGCCTCACCCGGATCTGTGGAGGAGCTTGTAAAAACTACCAATCCCTGGGGTCCACCTCCACCGTCATTAATTGGTCGGGGTGGGGCCTGCGCATTCCTCAGTTTTAAGCTTCCCAGGTGATTCAGATAGGGGGCCAGCTTTGAGAACCACCGTGGTGGCTAAACCCAAACCTCCCTTCTAGTCATGTAGCCAACTTCAGCCAAGTGCTGGGAAAGCTGCTGATGAAGCAATTTCACACCGGTTTGGTCTCCCATTTGGTTACTAAGCCTGTTAAACCGAACTGGTCAATATGTTTGTCCTCCCAGCTCTGATCACAACTGCCCGAGGCCAGACTGTTGTTTCTGGTCTCGAGGAATATTTCTCAGTCTCTCTGTGCTGAAGAATCATTTTCCTTTTCTTCTTTAAAAGTTTTTTTCCCTCAATGTTACTTTATCAAAGACATTGAAAACGCTTTACTAGAAAAAGGAAATGAAGAGATCCACAAAGTACATGCCCCAGTCTTTTATGATGAGCTTCAACAGACATAAAATGACTCTCATTGCTCTAAAACTATCTCCGTTTCTGTACCAGTCGCGGACTAGCAGGAGGTTGGCAGCGGTGCGTGCCCTTGCCAGGCCCACGCTGTGGAGGGGCCCCGGGCTGCGGTGCGTGCTCACACAGCCTCCTCACCTGTCTGCTTGCCGTTCCCTGAGTAGATATGCTTTCACTTTTTAATGCTTTTGCCCCTAGTTCCCTCTGCTTTCTTATATTCGCTGCCTTCAAACCCGTGAATATGTCATCTTCTGGACGAAGCTTTCTCTGACTCCACCTGGATGATATAGATAATTTCTTCATTTGACAATTACGTGTGTGTGTGTGTGTGTGTGTGTTTCAGCTACCGTCCTCTGCTGTTGCTAGGCCACACTACCTAATTTGTGGAGCCCGGTGCATAATGAAAATGTGGGGCCTCTGTCTAAAAAACATTGAGAATTTCAGGATGGAGATAGTGTGTCTGAAATCGTGTGTACAGTGTGTGCTCTGATACATTTATATATTGTAATGTGATTGCCACTGTAACAATAATTTATCACATGACATAATTATAGTACAATATGGTCTATATTCATTATACTGTGGATTAGATCTCTATGGCTTATTTAACTACTTGTTGCAAGGGAGCCTTCTGAGCTTGGGGCCCTGGGTGGACTGCATGGATCACATGCCCCAGAGGCCAGCCCTGGCCTTATCTTTGCGCTTGCCTTACAGCGGCACACATGACACCGACTTGTAATTATCTGAGTGTGCATGGAGGTGGAGAAGACTCTATGTGTCAGAATGCCTTATAGGGACCGTGAAGTCTGTGGCCCGGAGGAACTTTGGTAGGATGGGAGCCAGCTTCCTGAGGAGCATGCACTCCTGCAGTGGATTTTCACTAAATGCCATTAAAAACTTTTCCACCAATAGCAGGGCTCCGGCTGCTTTACAGTGTAGGGTATGCACGTTTATGTTCCAAGCTGAAGCTCTTGGCACTGTAGGTGGAGGAGAAGCTGGTTGTCATGCAGGAAAAAGACGCGGCAGGAGGACAGGGCTGTGGTGGTGATGGAGAGAGAGTGGAAGGGATGGCTGATCCCATAAGCATACTAGGAGAGTCAGCAACGGGATATGCGACATGCGTGTGCCCTCTGCCCCCATGACCTCCACTCCTGGTCCCCATGGAGGCCAAAGCTCTGTGAAGGAGCTGCCCCTTTGAAGGACACAGAATTGTTGAATCCAGAATCAAGATTGAAGCTCTTAGCCTAATTTTGGCTCCTGCATCTCTGTTTCTTCTAAGAGACGACAGTCTCCCGTCAGTGTGTATCGATATGGATCGAGTGGAGCAGTTTGGGCCTTAAGCAGAGCATGTCTCTCAGTGGCACAGTTTTAGCTAGTATTACAAAATCAATGGAAAGACCGATAGGCAGCAGTTCAGGGAGCTTTTTGATGCAGAAGAGCCCTGCGGGGCAATACGCCCTCTAGTGTCAGGAACTGTAAGGAAAAGTGGGTGCGGAAAAGGCACCAACGGAAATTTGCTTTCCCCTCAGGCACTCACTCACGCTGTTTTCTGTCTCCAAACTCCTAAATTTCTTGGCTCCCCCAGAGTCTCTTGCTGGGTTTCTCTCATGGCCTTTGGAGCCTGGGGAGGGAAGAGAGGGAAGGAATTCTAGTCATGGGGATCAGTTTGAGGGGACTCCCCAAGACCTACTTTTTTAGGGACTAGCACTTTCCAACAGCCCTCCCAGGTGGGGCTCTCTGTTGTGCTGGATTATCTCTTGAACTTGATCTTTAGATAATAATTAATACTTGGAATGTTGGTCAATGAACAGATGCTGTTTCTAACCCAGATACCTCCTTCTAGGTATTTGCATCTCAGGCCGGGCAGCTATGACCATGAGGCGGCTCAGAGGTACTATTTGAAATAGCTGCTTCTTTGATGCTTAGTCAAATGGCCTGGACAAGCTGGCCATTTGTAGGAACCTGCGTGTCACACCTGCCCTGGGCACCCCACACGCCCCTGAGAATACCCTTTCCATGCTGTGTGCCCCCACCTCGTCTCTCTCCTGTTAGCACACAGCTTTCATGTTGATCTTTGTGTTTGTCTTGTTCCTGACTATGGCCTCAGCTTGCTCTTCCCCTGCAGTGGGATGCAGATGAGTATACTGAAGAAAGGCTCCTTCTAAGGTTTGGCTGAATCGGAGGGTGGGGAACTTTTTCTGAAGGCCTCAGAAGCAGGAGCTCTTAGAAAGGCAGAGGGCCTGCAGAGGAGGAGAAAAAGCCTCTCTCCTAAGACTTCTGTACCCCTGCTCACTGCTGAGGATGAGCCAAGCTTCTCGGCTGCCTTTTCTCTTTGCAGGTTGGATTGGTATAATCTGCTCCCTGCATGGCTTAAACAACGGCAGTCAGGGCTGCAGGCCAACGGCCAATCCTTCATGCTGGAGGACTCCACTTTCTGGATCTTCGGGGGCTCCATGCACTATTTCCGTGTGCCTAAGGAATACTGGAGGGACCGTTTGCTGAAGATGAAAGCCTGTGGCTTGAATACCCTCACCACGTGAGTGCTGGCCCACCCCACCACCAAGAATTGGCATCTGTCGCATCTGTGTCCTGGGCTTCTTCAAGGCACCCCAGACTGTAGGTCTTCATTGTGTCAGGATTGGGGGAGCCCTGCCAGATCCTGAACGTGAGCTGTCCCTGAATAGAATCTTTAGGCTGAGCTTTGTGGGGAAAAATATAGGAGGAGCCCACCCCTCTGCATAGGTCTGCCGGGTTCGACAGCCTCCTTCCCTCACCTGCACAGCACTCCCCGTTAGTGCGGATGAGAAGACAGGATGGATGTATAAGCTTTAGAGGAACAGAAAGAGCAATGGCATACAAAGGAATACAGTGAAGGAGGTGAGTGTAGGTGTAGGAGGTGATTAAATTATCCAATTTTTCTTTTTTTTAAACAAGCACTCCAGCTCCCAATTTATTCAGCAAATGAATGTGATCTTTTGCAAAATAGCTTCCTTGGGAAAGCTGTTTTCAGGCAAAAATATATGATTACAGATCAAGGATGTGGATTTTCTTGAGTGGTTCATGAGCTAGCTTTGAAGACAATTTCTAAAATGAATTACAGGAATGTTCTGGGCCATCACAGCATAGATGAAACAAATGTATATGGTTTTCCAGAAGGAGTACTTAAAAGGATCCATTTATTTGCATATGTAAATTCTGGTCCTGGGGGTACATTCACACATCACAGGACTTCTGAAGCTTGTGGGAATATTGCAGGCTAAGCATTTTACCTTATAAAAGCTAGGTAATCTGTATTTTCTTCAACAGGGAACTCCTGAGTCTGAATTGGAAGCAAGCAAACCTCCTCCCCCTTTACCTGTGCACATTCTTTACAGTTGGAGAGGGCTCCACTGGAAGCCAGGGGTGGGTGGGAGTCCAGGAGAGGAGCGGCTGTGTTACCTCTACCTCTTGAGTTGGGCCCCTTAAAGAACTTATTTCCTTTCCTTATCTTCTAAAGAGAAGATATAAGGAAAGAATTCTTTGGAATTTTGATTCCTTCAGTAAAAATAGGACTGCCCACTGAGGTTTCCTCTTATCTTACTTTTAACTTTTTCTTTTAAGAAGTTACTTTTTTTTTTCCTCTGATGAAGAAAAAGTGGGAGAGATGGGGAGGGAGGGAGGGAGGAAGTGGGGGGAGTGCATGCTCAAGCTCACCTGTGGTCACATCTCATGCTTCACCCAAAGCTTACTGGCCTTCTCTTCCTTCTCCTAAGGAGATGAGGTATTAGCCTCCCAGGGACTGGCCCTGGATTCTCTAAGGTCCCTAGGTCTCTTCACTTAGTTCTTGGTTCCAATCCTGACACCATTAAGACCTGTACCTAAGAAATACATCTTCAACCATCATAGTGGGTTTTGGGGTAAAGAAGGTAATCTAGAAGACAAAGTGGAATAAATGAAAAGCTCATTCCTGTAATTATCTATTACAGCTATGTTCCATGGAACCTCCATGAGCCAGAAAGAGGCAAATTTGACTTCTCTGGGAACCTGGACCTGGAGTAAGTGCTCTTGCTGCTTCTATAGCCTGGCCTGGGGTGGGGAGGCAGAGAGGTGGCCCCCTGGGGTTGATCAGGAACCATGGGACCATCTCGGTTCTGCTTTGAGAACCAAAGAGAGGCGGGTCAGGAGCCTTGTTCTCAGGACCCACATGCTCTCCATGAACCTGTTACTCCTGGGGGTCTGGGTCTGCCTCCTCTGAGCCCAGACCTCTTCACTGCAGCCCAGAGATGCCTAATCCCCAGTGTCTGCCCTGCTTTGCAGTGTGGGCCAGCCGCCTGTGCTGGGACCGGGGTTGCCCCTCTATGGTCGCAAGGCTGTTGGGGTCAGGTTCACTGTTAGGACCCCCCTGTACCCTGTTTGATGCCCTTCCTCCTTATGCCCCCAGTGGGGCTGTGCAGAAGGTCCTGGGCTGGGAGCAGGTGAGAACCCAGCTCCCAGGGCCTGTGAAGGGAGGGAGGAGAGGAGCTGGGCAGCTCCACCACCTTGTGATGCTGGGCTTGTCCCCATCCTCCCCTCTGTGTCTTGAGAGCTGCTGACACTGACCTCCCTAGGGCCTTTGTGCTGATGGCTGCGGAGATCGGGTTGTGGGTGATTCTGCGTCCAGGCCCCTACATCTGCAGTGAGATTGACCTTGGGGGCTTGCCCAGGTGAGTGGGGCTGTGAGGGGCTTCAGCTGTGGCTTGAGCTGGACCTCTGTGCTTCTGCAAAACAGTAATCACAATTGGAGGTTTAATTTTGCTGCTAAAGTATATTCTTATTCTGTACTGAAATTCCTTTTCAAAATAAGTGATGCCCAAAGGAGGCCATTTTAAATGATGTCACTTTATTTGATAAAGTATAAGAGAAACAAATTATCGTTTTTGTTTTGTTTTCTCTTCAAATCTCAGGCTTTAATGAATTATGGAGTAGAAATCTGGACGGTAATCACCTGGTACCACATTCATTCCTTGTCCTCATCATTACTGCCATTAATTTTCAACAAAAAGACTTTCTTTTAATAGGCATAATCTTTCCCATCTTCAGGGCGTTCCAGACGGTTAGATCCACTTTCTTCCTACCCGATGCCGCCCCAAGGGGGAAGAAGGCTGGTCCTGTTTGCCTTGTGGTCTTCTTCGGGAATGGCCTCTCCCCACAGCACAGCCACCAGGCCAGGCCTTGTTTTCTCTCCTGTCTCCAGAGCGACCCATCCCTTCCCTAAGGACCCCAAGCAGGCTCTATCTCCATCTCCTTCACTCTCTAGGATCACTTCTCTGTCTCTGTGCCCTTGACAAGGCTGCGCACACAGCCAGGGTGCCCTCCCCCTGCACCGAGGGATTAGAAATCTGTGTGTCAGCGATGTCCTCGGGCTCAGCCGGAGCTGCCAGGGGGAGGACAGGATTTAAGTGTTGGCTTAGAAGCAGCGGGAGCTCCAGCACTCAGCCCTCCTCCTGGGCGGCACTGTCCATTCAGGTCCTGGCACGGGGGCACACCCCAGGGAGGCCCAAACAAGCAGAGACCCAGTGTTGATGAGAAGCTCGACCCTTTTAGGTGAGATGGAGGGTGGAGGTATCTAGAGGAAGCTGCTCTCTCCTTAAACACTTTTACCTAACATAAATTGATAATTTTCTGACTCCGCTCAGGACTTGCACATTAGGACAAGAAGCATCAGAGCCTTTATAAGAAAATATAAGTGTTTTCTCAGAATTTCAAGTGAGAAGGAAAAGTTCCTGACTCCAGCTCTGGAAGGAATGATCTGTGTACACCTGGGGAATATGATCACAATGGACAGGTTGTGGGAAGCATTCACCTTCTTGCTCATCAGCAACTCCCCTGAGCTGAGCTCTGAAGAGCTGAGGAGGCTGATGCTAATGAGCCCCCTGGGTCAGCCTAGAGAGAAGTGGGGAGAAGTGGGATTAGCCTCTCATGGCCTCTCTGTCAGGCCTGGTTTTCTGGGTGACACTGGAAGGTTGCATCTGGCCCCAGTGATTCCTTAACCGCTTTGGCTTCACCCCTTTGTAAGGAGATGTTAGAATAAATGCTTTAACACTGGGCTTCAGTTCAGTGAAAAGCTTTTCTCGCTCTGACTGGCAGCCAGACCTATAGCCACAAAGCTGGAAATAAAATCCCTAGCAATGCTGGTTGTCTTTTCGTAGGGAAGCAGTGCAGAGTGCAGGGCTGGAGCTGTAGCAGAGTTTGCCCCTGATCTGTTTGCACAATCTCCTGCTCCTGGCTGAGTGGAGGTAGTGGGGTGGGAATGGTCCCACTCTCCCCAAGACTCTGAAGCTGCTTCTTTTCTCCCCACCATCATCCTGCCCAGAACAAACCCACAAACAGTGCAACTAATTCCCACCCCCCCTTTTATTCAAGCTGGTTACTCCAAGACTCTGGCATGAGGCTGAGAACAACTTACAAGGGCTTCACCGAAGCAGTGGACCTTTATTTTGATCACCTGATGTCCAGGGTGGTGCCACTCCAGGTAAAAGCGAGGAGCCTCCTCTTTGATCTTCAACTGTCTTCCTACTGGGAGTAAATAGTCCTGGGGGACCTCTCAGACCAGGGGCTCACAGTTCCTTTCAACACAGGAATGCATTCTTCTCCACTGCCTGAGATCTATAATTGGAGGGGTTTGTAATAGTTGTCTTTTAAAAGATGTATTTCGGTGTTGTCTTGGGGGGTATAGTGCTGAAGGGACAGACAGGCACAAGGACATACGTTCATCCAAACGGTGTCAGAGCTGCCACATGTGATGTGTTGGTAACTGAAAAACCCACCAACTGGTGTCCCAATAGCATACTAACCGGCTCAGTCCTACATGGAGAGGAGCGTAAATGGATGGGCCCTTACCTGTAAGACAGCAGGACTTTTTGTAGTTATAAAATTACAGCTGATGACTTTTCAAGGTACATCTTTTTGCTACCTACCAAAAAGGGGCTGTGTGTGTGGTATACATTTTATCCAAAACATAGGTGATAAAAATGAATTTTGGGGAGAAAGTATCTTATCATTGCATGTAATATTTGGAAGCAATAAGAAGGCAGGAATGGGAATAATTAATTCAAGAGCTTATATAAAAATTAGAAGAGTTATGCTGAGAAATTAGTACATTTATAAAAAAATTAGTAAGTATATCTATAAAATTGCTCTTGAGTCAATGGTTTGGAATGTTCACAGCACACATAGATCAAAGGAATTACTTGACCATTTGTAGGGTAAGCAAATAAAACACAGGGTATTCAGTTAAATTTGAATTTCAGATAAACAAAGAATATGTTTTTTAGTATAAATATGTCCTAAATATTGCATGGGACATACCTGTGTTAAAAATATTCATAACTTATATAAAAATTTATTCATTGTAAATTCAAGTTTATTTTTTTCAGATTTTTTTTATTATTATGTTCTGTTAATCACCATACATTACATCATTAGTTTTTGATGTAGTGTTCCATGATTCATTGTTTGCGTAAAACACCCAGTGCTTCATGCAGTACATGCCCTCTTTAATACCCATCACCAGGCTAACCCATCCCCGCACCCCCCTCACCTCTAGAACCCTCAGTTTGTTTCTCAGAGTCCATAGTCTCTCATGGTTCGTCTCCCCCTCTGATTCCCCCTCCTTCATTTTTCCCTACTATCTTCTTTTTTTTAACATATAATGTATTATTTGTTTCAGAGGTACAGGTCTGTGATTCAACAGTCTTGCACAATTCACAGTGCTCACTGTAGCACATACACTCCCCAATGTCTATCACCCAGCCACCCCTACCCTCCCACCACCCACTACAACAGCAACCCTCAGTTTGTTTCCTGAGATTAAGAATTCCTCATATCAGTGAGGTCATCTGATACATGTCTTTCTCTGATTGACTTATTTCACTCAGCATAATAACCTCCAGTTCCATCCACGTCATTGCAAATGGCAAGATTTCATTCCTTTTGATGGCTGCATAATATTCCATTGTATATATATACCACATCTTCTTTATCCATTCATCTGTCGATGGACATCTGGGTTCTTTCCACAGTTTGGCTATTGTGGATATTGCTGCTATAAACATCGGGGTGCACATACCCCTTCGGATCCCTACATTTGTATCTTTGTGGTAAATACCAAGTAGTGCAATTGCTGGATCGTGTTGAGCTCTATTTTCAACTTTCTGAGGAACCTCCATACTGTTTTCCAGAGGGGTTGCACCAGCTTGCATTCCCACCAACAGTGTAGGAGGGTTCCCCTTTCTCCACATCCCCGCCAACATCTGTCATTTCCTGACTTGTTCATTTTAGCCATTCTGACTGGTGTGAGGTGGTATCTCATTGAGGTTTTGATTTGGATTTCCCTGATGCCGAGCGACGTTGAGCACTTTTTAATGTGTCTGTTGGCCATTTGGAGGTCTTCTTTGGAAAAATGTCTGTTCCTGTCTTCTGCCCATTTCTTGATTGGATCATTTGTTCTTTGGGTGTCGAGTTTAAGAAGTTCTTTATACATTTTGAATACTAGCCCTATATCTGATATATCATCTGCAAATATCTTCTCCCATTCTGTCAGTTGTCTTTTGGTTTTCTTGACTGTTTCTTTTGCTATGCAAAAGCTTTTTATCTTGATGAATTCCCAATAGTTCATTTTTGCCCTTGCTTCCCTTGCCTTTGGCGATGTTTCTAGGAAGAAGTTGCTGCAGCTGAGGTCGAAGAGGTTGCTGCCTGTGTTCTCCTTTAGGATTTTGATGGACTCCTGTTTCACATTGAGGTCTTTCACCCATTTTGAGTCCTTTTTTGTGTGTGGTGTAAGGAAATGATCCAGGTTCATTCTTCTGCATGTGGCTGTCCAATTTTCCCAACACGATTTGTTGAAGAGACTGTCTTTTTTCCATTGGACATTCTTTCCTACTTTGTCAAAGATTAGTTGACCATAGAGTTGAGGGTCCATTTCTGGGCTTTCTATTCTATTCCGTTGATCTATGAGTCAGTTTTTGGGCCAGTACCATACTGTCTTGATGATGACAGCTTTGTAATAGAGCTGGAAGTCCGGAATTGTGATGCCGCCAGCTTTGCTTTTCTTTTTCAACATTCCTCTGGCTATTCGGGGTCTTTTCTGGTTCCATACAAATTTTAGGATTATTTGTTCCATTTCCTTGAAAAAAGTGGATGGTATTTTGATGGGGATTGCATTGAATGTGTAGATTGCTCTAGGTAGCATTGATATCTTCACAGTATATGTTCTTCCAATCCATGAGCATGGAACATTCTTCCATTTCTTTGTGTCTTCCTCAATTTCTTTCATGAGTATTTTATAGTTTTCTGACACAGATCCTTTGTCTCTCTGGTTCGATTTATTCCTAGGTATCTTATGGTTTTGGGTGCAATTGTAAATGGGATCGACTCCCTAATTTCTCTTTCTTCTGTCTTGCTGTTGGTGTATAGGAATGCCACTGATTTCTGTGCATTGATTTTATATCCTGCCACTTTACTGAATTCTTGTATGAGTTCTAGCAGTTTTGGGGTGGAGTCTTTTGGGGTTTCCACATAAAGTATCATATCATCTGCAAAGAGTGAGAGTTTTTCTTCCTTGCCAATTTGGATGCCTTTTATTTCTTTTTGCTGTCTGATTGCTGTGGCTAAGACTTCTAGTACTATGTTGAATAGCCATGGTGATAGTGGACATCCCTGCCGTGTTCCTGACCTTAGGGGGAAAGCTCTCAGTTTTTCCCCATTGAGAATGATATTCGCTGTAGGTTTTTCAGAGATTGCTTTTATGATATTGAGGTATGTACCCTCTATCCCTATACTCTGAAGAGTTTTGATTAAGAAAGGATGCTGTACTTTGCCAAATGCTTTTTCTGCATCTATTGAGAGGATCATATGGTTCTTGTTCTTTCTTTTATTAATGTATTGTATCACATTGATTGATTTGCAGATGTTGAACCAGCCTTGCAGCCCAGGGATAAATCCCACTTGGTCGTGGTGAAGAATCCTTTTAATGTACTGTTGGATCCTATTGGTTAGTATTTTGGTGAGAATTTTTGCATCCATGTTCATCAAGGATATTGGTCTGTAATTCTCCTTTTTGATGGGGTCTTTGTCTGGTTTGGGGATCAAGGTAATGGTGGCCTCATAAAATGAGTCTGGAAGTTTTCCTTCCATTTGTATTTTTTGGAACAGTTTCAGAAGGATAGGTATTAATTCTTCTTTAAATGTTTGGTAGAATTCCCCTGGGAAGCCATCTGGCTCTGGTCTTTGGTTTGTTGGGGGATTTTGAATGACTGCTTCAATTTCCTTAGTGGTTATACGTCTGTTCAGGTTTTCTATTTCTTCCTGGTTCAATTTTGGTAGTTGATGCCTCTCTAGGAATGCATCCATTTCTTCCAGATTATCGAATTTGCTGGCATAGAGTTACTCATAATATGGTCTTATAATTGTTTGTATTTCTTTGGTGTTGGTTGTGATCTCTCCTCTTTCATTTGTGATTTTATTTATTTGGGTTATTTCTCTTTTCTTTTTGATAATCTGGCCAGCGGTTTATCAATCTTGTTAATTCTTTCAGAGAAGCAGCTCCTAGTTTCTTTGATCTGTTCTACTGTTCTTTTAGTTTCTATTTCATTGATTTCTGCTCTGATCTTTATTATTTCTCTTCTCCTGCTGGGGTTAGGTTTTATTTGTTGTTCTTTCTCCAGCTCCTTTAGGTGTAGGGTTAGGTTGTATATTTGAGACCTTTCTTGTTTCTTGAGAAAGGCTTGTATTGCTATCTACTTTCCTCTTAGGATGGCCTAGGCTGCATCCCAAAGATTTTGAACCATTGTGTTTTCATTTTCATTTGTTCCCATGAATTTTTTTAATTCTTCTTTAATTTCCTGGTTGACCCATTCATTCTTTAGTAGGATGCTCTTTAGCCTCCATGTATTTGAGTTCTTTCCGACTTTCCTCTTGTGATTGAGTTCTAGTTTCAAAGCATTGTGGTCTGAAAATATGCAGGGAATGATCCCAGTCTTGTGGTACCAGTTGAGACCTGATTTGTGACCTAGGATGTGATCAATTCTGGAGAATATTCCATGGGCACTAGAGAAGAATGTGTATTCTGTTGCTTTGGGATGGAATGTTCTGAGTATATCTGTGAAGTCCATTTGGTCCAGTGTGTCATTTTAGGTCTTTTGTTCCTTGTTGATGTTTTGCTTAGATGATCTGTCCATTTCAGTCAGGGGGGTGTTAAAGTCCCCCACTATTATTGTATTGCTGTCGATGTGTTTCTTTGGTTTTGTTATTAATTGCCTTATATAATTGGCTGCTCCCATGTTGGGGGCATAGATATTTACAATTGTTAGATCTTCTTGTTGGATAGACCCTTTAAGTAGGATATAGTGTCCTTCCTCATCTCTTATTACAGTCTTTGGTTTAAAATCTAATTTGTCTGATATAAGGATTGCCACCCCAGCTTTCTTTTGGTGTCCATTAGTATGGTTAATGGTTTTCCACCCCCTCACTTTC